CCCCTCTTCCCTAACCATTCTCCATCCAACAGGTTAAGCTGCCTTTCAAACAGGTAAACCTTATTTTGGGTCACACTGCAGCCTGCACACTGCGGCTGGCCTGATCCTCTGGGCTCGCCTGATGGCCATGCACCTGCCCACATGTCTTCTTCCTCCTGCCCAGGAAGTTGTGGAGGTATTCTCTCTTCCGCATGAAGTTCTCTTCTTACCGAACATTCACTTATAGTTCACGTGTCATTTTAAATAATACTGCCTTAGAACACCTGTCCTTGAATCCTCCAAACTAAATGCTGTCCCTTTTCCACTGGTCTTTCTCATGGTGTTCCACTTTTTCTTACTAGAGCATTTATCACAGCTTATAATCATCAACGTTATCTGTTTTTAATGTTCTGTGTGGGGGCTCCATGGGTGGCGAGGATAATGTCTGGTCTTGTTAACCACTGCAGAACCAGAACCTGGTCCAGGAAAATGGGGGATACTTTTTCTTAGTGAAAAAGAGGAAAAAATATAAGACAAGAGACTAAAGGAAGGGTTAAAAGATTAAAACAGAGATTAAAACATCAAGGTAAAGAAAAAGGAAAATGTGTTTCCTGAATTCAGTTCAACGAATTTCCATTAAACTGCTACCTTAGAAGGTTCTGTCCTTCTGGCCTTCTGTCCAAATGCATGGACACCGAGCAAACTCTGAGCCCTCACAGAAGACGAACTTCCACTGAAAACATTCTGCAGTGTCGTGCAGGGAAGATCATGCATCTCTAAGGGTTAAGTTAAACTATACTTGTCTCTAAGTTAAATGTCTCAAGGACAAAGGAAGTGAATGTTTCAGAAAGGGAGAAGGAAAGCAGTGTTTAATGGCAATTCCCTAGGACCGGGAGCAAAGTAATCTGGTGTAGATCAGCAATTTTCAACTGCTGGGCTGCAAGAGGCACACTGGTGAGCCACAAGAATTTTTAAAGCTGTAATAGCCATGTAGTCAGGGGCACTGACCTCTTTCCCCTTAGGTAGTCAAATAAAACAATGACAACCGCCATCACAGCAATAGCTGCCTGGTGTGAATGAATCAAAATCAGACCTTTTTTTTTTTTTTTTGTCAGACTGGCCAAAAATGTATTTTTTGATGCGTTGTAAAAAGCCTGTGGTCTTATTAGTCAAGCATTTATTTAATATCCATTTAACATGCAGTGGATCTAGATAAAGATGTTTTGGGGCTCTAAACTGACCCCCTAGCTTAATGGTTATGGAGTGCTTCTGGATTGGTTTTTTATTACCTTTGATTTTAGTGATTCATAAAACTTAAACTATTGTTGGTTACGTTGACCTAACACCTCGAGAAACCTGGTAGAAATGTTTTAACAGCCTGAGTTAAAAGAAGTCGCCAAGAACGATGGACAGAAGACTCTCACATATTAGGTTTCTAAAATCTGAAGTATATTTTTGCTCATGTTTCACAGCTCAGAGGACATGAGCCTTTTGTCTGAATTTATCTGACCGTGTTCAGGACCAGCTGGCTTGAAATAAGTTTCCTTTAATTTCAAAGTTGGCAAACATTGTGCAGTCTGCCATCAGACGATAAGCCCTCACTGATCTCAGAAAAGTGATTGTAGAACACTGGGAACTACTTAGCACCCTGATTGACTTCTACAATCAAGGTGCTAAATAGTTATAATAAAACTCATCCTAGTATTTCACCGGGAATCATCTGACCTGGTTGAGCAGGGGAGAATTAGTGTGGCAAAAAGTACATATCATAACACAGAGTTGTTTTGGTTTTCACAGACCTTAATTTCTTCCGACATAGTAATATTCTGATCAAAGCTGTCTTTCAGTTCACTGAGAGATCTTTCAGGTACAAGAGAGCAGACTTAGAGCTGTTTTCGGTGGTAAGGGGTCACACTGAAATGTCCCTCTGTGTCTGCTGTACTTGTGCCTCTAGACAAGCTTAACACAAATGTGTTACATAGGGTGTCACTCAAATTTGTCCATGATCAAGAAGTAATGGGTAGAAATTGCAGGCAGAAAAGAAAGGGATCTTCCAAGGTATATACCTAAGACTTCTAATAATGTTTTCTCTTATAGACAGGCAGTCCTCGGGTTACGTCAGAGATCTGTTCCTACGGTGTGACGTAACTTGATTTTCGCCATAAGTTGAAACCCACTTACATAAGCACCAATGTCACTCACATGGAGCACATACACAGCAGTAAGAAAGTGAAACGTTAAAAAAATTTTAAAAGAAAGATTCCTGACCTTTACTTGTGGCAAATAAATAATAAAAAACATAAAGCACATATATACATATGTAGAAAAGACAGATTAAAAAAAATAAATAAATACTGTAAATGGGAGATGGCGAAATAACCACGAAACTATTAATATGTAAGTCGAATCTGATGTAACCTGAGGACTGCCTGTACATGGTATATGTGTTGCATAAAACAGCCTACATTAGAAAACATTGTTAAATAATTCCCAAAGTCAGATAATTTAATGTGCACAAGAGGGGCGGGGTCACTCAGCGTGACCTGCACCCTCTCACAATCCAGGACCCCTCGGTGGATGTCCTACTGCTGGTTTAGGCCTGGTCCCACAGAGATCTGCAGGGATCAGGCCTAAATCAGCAGTCAGACATCCCTCTTGCAATCCGGGATTGTTGGCTCTTAATGGCACGCCTGCCTGCCTGTCTGATTGCCCTTAACAACTCTGCCTGCCCGATCATCCCGACAGTCTGATCATTATATTGATAGTTGCAAATGAAGCCAGAAAATATTAGTTATTAGTTATACACTATGGCCATTTGTACTCAAAAACTATCTCAGATGCCTTGTCCTCAATGGTCAAAGGCTACGGTCTTCTGTCTAAAGCTCCTTTTCCCGCACAGTCCGTGTAACTCTCCCCATGGCCTGGGCCCTTAGGATGACTTAACATCTCCTGCTGCCTCAGGATGACTTAACTTCTAAGTCAGCCTCAATCTAAGGACAGCGTGGTTCTAACTCAATTTTCTCCCTTTTTGGCATCAACATCTCTACAACCCTGTCATTTTGGGATTCATTATGTTTTTCTTTTTGTTCATCAATATAATTGTCAGTAAATAGGGACCTCTCTGAGGCTCAGTTTTCTCAGCTGTAAAATGGAACTCTATCCTCCGCATTATACAACTGCATGTGCACTACAAGAAATAAACCATGCAAAAAGCATTTCATGGCATCCAAATAACTGTGTTTTTGTTTTTTTTGTTTTTTTTTAAGTTTATGCTTGGCCTTCTCTCAGTCTTCCACAAGCATAGTCACATCCCATGTCCCAGTGTGTGTTCTAAGGTACAAATCCAAAAAAATTCATGTTCTGGACCACTGACAGCAATTCGTCACACTCTAGCTTCCAACTTGCTCAACTCGTAAAACAAGTACTACTGAAGGAGCTGCAGGGACACAGCCTCCGAGATGTTGCTGTTTGTGATTACTCATAAGGAAGCAACCTGGCTGTCAGTTTTATCTGGTCTTCTCATCACTGTGACTCAGTTCCCGCTGTCCCCATCTCCTCAAAGTGTGTGGCTGGTGCTGGCCTGGGAAAGCTTACCTAGGTCCTAACTGCCGAGCTTGCTCAGTGTTACCTTCTCCAAAACCTCACACTGGGTATATGCCATAACAAGCAAAGCAAAACGAAAACTGTCTAATCTTAACTATTTCAGATCATTCTATTTGGATTTACCACAGAATTAAGTCAAAGAGAACAAGGCTGGCCTATAGTACAAGTCATAGTAAAAACTTTAAATCTGATAGAATGTTTATGCATTTCACACAGGTAAATATTTTTTTTCTATAATCCAAAAGAAATATTCTCTAACTCCACACCTAAAGGAGACATTTTGAAATTCACAGTACTTTCAACTCAGAGGCCATACACTTGAAGAGAATTCATAATGAATACAGAAGTGTTCCTTGTTGCTCCTTTTGAATAGCACCAGAAGGCACCATTAAAATAGAATGATTATTATTTCTATAATATGTTTTCTTATTATGAGTAGGTAGAAAAAATGATTGCTGAACTGGCATCTATACTTTTAAGTTCTCTTCTGTTGTAAATCCTTATTAGTGCTCCAAGGGCAGCTTCACATAGAAAGAAAGATGACCTTAAATGGTTATGCCAAGGCTCTGACATAAAGAAAGAAACTTCCGTCAACAATGTGTCTATGGCAATGTGAAAAAATGTACAGCCAGGAAGAGCCTACACCTGAGAAGAAAAAAAGATCTCATTCTCTCTGTTCAAACGAGCAAAAGTGACCTGAATCACTGGCCTTGATTATGTATGTATTCATCCAGCAGTACTGTCCAGCGAGGTGGCCACTAAACACATGAAGCTACTTACAATAAGTTAATTGAAAGTAAGTACAATTTAAAATTGGGTTCCCCAGCCCAGCTAGCTAAGTGCGCAATAACCCTGTGTAGTCAGTGGTTACCTCACTGGGTAGCACCAATTCACATCTTTGCAGAAAGCTCTGCTAAGTAGCGCTGTATAGATGAAAGCGGTGTCTGAAAGGCTAGATTAGTCTGCTAACTGTTATTTACTCAGGTTGTAAGAGATGTGAAATTCGATAGATATATAGTGAGTGGTCTTTTTAGGTAAGGTAGCCACATCGTTTTACCTGGAACCCTTCAGGCCACAGGCCGGCACTCTATCCACTCAGCCAAACCAGCTAGGGCAAGGGTAACCACATCTTGGCTTTTCTACAACAATTCTAGTATATCTTGTATTTGTATTACTTGCAATAACATGACTCATTAAAGGTAAAAGGTAAACAGCACAAATGAAATTATTTTAGTAGAACTTTTTACATAAATTAATAGAATCCTTTGTCATACACCCTGGTCCCAAATGCTGATGCAAGAAAACAAACAAACAAAAACAACCCATGTATACGGTGAGGGTAGCCAGGAAACTGCTCCTGAGAAACCTCTCCTTTCTCTAAGTAACTCCAGGTACCCCCTGCCTGTGCTGTCACTCACCGGAAGCTCGGTGCCTCTGAGCTGGGAGGAGCAGCTGAGCTGCCTCCCTGCTGACCCCTGCAGGGAAGGAAGTACACTCTCTGCACCACCACTGGGACTCCAGCTCCGGACCACGTGGCAGCTCCTTGGCTTTCTACTGTGTCCAGGAGCGAGTCGCTGAGGGGCGCTTGAGATGAGCAGTGCCTGTGGGTCCAGTCTGTCCTCAGGGTGGGGAGACTGCACATAACCTGGCCAAGACACGCAAGGGAAGACGTCAGTCTGACTCACGATGGCACACACTAACAAATAATGACACTCCTAGGTAATCCTATGATGTAAATGCAGAACACTAGAAGAAAAGTGCCCAAGGTTACCTAGAAGAAAGTGGCTGAGGCAGGATTAAACCAGAACGCCTGGCCCCAAAGCCCATACTCTTAACCACTAGGCTATACTGCAGCTTCATCATCGCTGTTGCTGAAAGCGTATTTCATGAAACTAAAGCATTAATATACTTTGAGCCATATTTTAAATTGATTAGAGAACTCTTTTCACATAATTCCCTCCAGGTAATAAACCTGTATTTAAAAAGAAAAAGATTTTAGATAGAGGAAGAGAGAAAGAGAGAGATATCGAGAAACATCAATTAGTTGCCTCCAGCATGTGCCCAGACCGGAATCGAACCTGCCACCTTTTGGTGAATGGGAGGGATGCTCCAACCAAGCCAAGGGAGATTCTGCTTGATTACACTTATACCAAACAGGATGAAAATCTGTCTGCTTTTCTCTATGTTCCCTCATGCTGTCTGTCACGCTCAGCATTCCATTTAGTGCTGAACCAAGTAACTTGGCAACCTGTGCCAGGTGCACTGAAAGCAAGGAGCTCGGAGGGGTCCCAGGAATGCACTTCATGCTCACAGCAAGGGAAGGCTGGTGGTTCCCTAAACTCAATTTGGCAGATGATCAAGGCTCGGGGCCAATAAAATGCCAAAAACAATCTCCAATTTATAATCTCAAGTTTATGCAGCTCTTTTTATCCCAAGTGATACAGATATTGTGAAAAAGAAACATGCAACTACACTAATAAAAGAGAAACATGCAAACTGACTATACCTCCGCTACATCCACCAGCCAGTAAGAGCAAGTATGCAAATTAACCCAACAAAGATGGCGGCAGCCACAGAGCTGGATCGAGCAGGAGGTGATGGAGGAAGCCAAGCTTTCCGCCCACCCTAGCCAGCTCACTTCTGCTAAAGGCCACAAAGTTTCAATTATACAAAGTTATATAAATCCCAGATACCTGCTTCTAGCGGGCTTTGGCCTCCGCTCAAGGAGGCGCTGAAAAAAAAAAAAAAAAAAAAAGAGAAGAAAAAACAAAGGGCTGGGAGTCATCAGCCCCTCACCAGGCTGGCCAGGCACCCCAGCGGGGACCCCAACCCTGAAGTGAGTGTGTCCAGCCTGAAAACGGCCCTCAGCCCCTCATGCAGGCTGCCCGCCCCCCGCCACCCATGGAGTAAGAGTTCCTGCTGGGGGTGTGGCCCGCCTGCAAACAGCCATCAGCCCCTCACCCAGGCTGGCCAGGCACCGCAGTGAGGACCCCTGCCCTGAATGGGCTGTGGCCAGCTTGAAAACAGCCCTCAGCCCCCCACCAGTGTGGCCACACCTCTCAGTGAGGACCCTCACCCCATGGCAGTATGACCAGCCTGCAAACCACCACAGGCCCCTCACCCAGGCCACCTCCCGCCCGAGGGGAACCCCCACCCTGATCCAGGACCCCCTTCAGGGCAAACCAGCTGGCCCCCACCCGTGCACCAGGCCTCTATCTATACTAATAAAAGGGTGATATGCTAATTAGACCGGGAGACCTGCCAGGAGACCTTCTGGACTTTCTTCTGGACAAAGCCATGACGGCGGGGCCAAGGTAGAGGCGGTTAGATACCAAGAGGGGAGGGGAGTTGTGGGTGATCAGGCTGGTGGGGGGCGGGGCTGTTGAGGGTAAGCAGACCAGCAGGGGGGCCAGTTGGGGGCAAGCAGGCAGTCAGTGGGAGTCAGTTGGAGGTAAGCAGGCCAGGAGGGGGACATTGGGGGCAAGCAGACCAGTGTGTGTGTGGGAAGGTGGAGACAAGCAGGCCAGCAGGTGGGGCAGTTGGGGGTGAGCACACTGGGAAGGGGGGCAGTTGGGGGTGATCAGGCTGGCAGGGGGGCATTTGGGGGCAAGCAGGCTGGTGGCAGGGGGAAGTTGGGGGTGAGCAGGCTGGCAGGCAGAGTGGTTAGGGGCAGTCAGGCAGGCAGGTGAGTGGTTAGGAGCCAGTAGTCCTGGATTGCGAGAGGTATGTCTGACTGCCAGTTTAGGCCTGATCCCTGTAAACTGGCAGTAGGACATCCTTCGAGGGGTCCCAGACTGGAGAGGGTGCAGGCCGGGCTGAGGAACACCCCCCATCCCCATGAACAAATTTCGTGCACTGGGCCTCTAGTTTTAATAATAAAAGAGAGCTTAAAAAAAGATCTTAGGTAATTATAAAATGAGAACAGAAAAAAAATCAATATTCATATCTCTGTATATAAAAGGCTAATATGTCCCGAAACCGGTTTAGCTCAATGGATAGAGCGTCGGCTTGGGGACTGAAGGGACCCGGGTTCAATTTCGGTCAAGGGCATGTACCTTGGTTGCAGGCATATCCCCAGTAGGGGGTGTGCAAGAGGCAGCTGATCGATGACTCTCTCTCATCGATGTTTCTAACTCTCTACCTCTCTCCCTTCCTCTCTGTACAAAATCAATAAAATATATTAAAAAAAAAAAAAAGGCTAATATGCAAAGTGTCTCCTCAGGAGTTTGACTGGGAGACTGGGAGTTTGATCGCTGGCTATTATGTGTGCTGACCACCAGGGGGTGGTTCAGAAGAAAGGAAGGCCCTGGGGGGCAGCAAGCAAAGGAAGGCCCCGATCGGCTCCAACAACTGGCCAAGCTTAAGGACCCTATCTGTGCACAAATTTCATGCACCAGGCCTCTAGTATATTAATAACTTAGAATAAATATTAAAATTACACAAAACACTATAAAATATCACAACTCAATACTGAACTGAACTATAATTTCTTTAGGCATAACAATAATACATATATAGTATGTTCTAGCATATATATTAGCTGAATATTTGAAGATCAAAAGTAAACATCTTCCCTTATAATCCTTTCAAATATTAAACGTCATAAAACGTCTAAGCCAAAGAGAGTTACCTGGCTTCCAGGTGGATTATTTGTTAGACTCTTAAATCTAAACATCTGGGATAACGTGGTGATTCTTCTTGGAAGGGGTGTGTCCCCAAATTGCACTTCATGTGTTATTCTTGAATCTTCTTTGGCAACAACTTTTTTACAGAAGTAAGTGTTCAGAATAACCGGGCAACTTCCATTTGGGATAATAAGCTTTTGCCTGGGAAGGGGAAAAAATACAACAGTTTATTTGCAAAGCCGGATCCCCACTATGTTCCCCCAAAATCAGGGACACAAAGAACAATGACCTGCCTGCTTCTACAGAGAAAAGCAGCCCACGGAGTACAGCTGCCCTCACACTCTCAAGAGTGCCTGTCGATGGGCCTGCTTCTACTTTTCCAGTGGAAGTTCTGTGTCAGGAGAGGGGCTAGTGCCTGGGCTTCTCCGAGATCCTCCCGCCCTGGTAGAAGACGGCCTTAGGATCCCTCAGGAGAAGCGCAGGGAGTGAGCAAAGACGATCAAAAAGCTCAAAGAATTAACCATCAAAATAAATGCCATTAATCTCTTAACCAAAGAGCTTACATGCAAACTTGAACAGCCCAGGGACACAGACAACACTGTGGTGAAGGCTGCAGGAGGGAGCAGGTTTAATACTTTCAACAATAAAAATTTAAACATTAAAAATAAATAAACAAACAAATAAATAAATACTGTTTACAAATAACACCTTCATACATTTTGACAGGTCTGATCTTTCAAATACTGTATTTTTCCATGTATAATTTGGCCCCCACTTTTTCAACCCAAAATTGAGAAATCAATATTCTTGCCCTACCAAGTTTGGCTCAGTGGATAAAATGTTGGCCTGAGGACTGAAGGGTCCCAAGTTTGATTCCGGTCAAGGGCACATACCCAGGTTGTAGGCTCAATCTCCAGTAGGGGCCATGCAGGAAGCAGCCAATCAATGATTCTCCCTCATCATTGATGTTTCTATCTCTGTCTCCCTATCTGAAATCAATTAAAAATATATTAAAAAAAGAAATCAATATTTTAAATATATTGCTGGTTTTCCTCTTAAGGCCTTCTTCTTTTTGGCACTTTAAGGAGTTGTTATTCCTGTTTTCTCCATTCTCTGATCATACACTCAGTGGGAGGAGGTCCAAATTGTCTCTCTGCAGCTCTACTTCCATGATTGCATTCAGTTTGAATTTCGCAGAGGAAGACAATCGCTTACTGGTATTTGTCTTTTTATTTTTTGACATCTTTATGGGCTCAGAACACCCCAGTCCCTGTTGCATCTGTACACTCTCCACCTTCACCTCCAATTACAGCATCAGTTGATGTCAGTAACAATAAGGCTCGTGATTGGAGGAAGCCTGTTTGACAAAGTATGGGCAGCTAAGTACCCACTCAACTCCCTCCTCAGCTGACTTCAATCTAACAATTTTAGAAAAAAGCAAAAAAAAAAAAAAAAAAAAAAAGCATCTTCTACATGGAAAAATACGGTAACTTGACATCAAATATCAAAGGAATACACCCAAATGGACCACAGTCACAGACATGCCTCATATTTCAGTAGAGAAGTCTGGGAATATAAAAGACATTCTCCTGATTCCTTTCAGACATCTGATTTGAGAAGATCCTAACACTTAATGCCTCAAAACAGACAGTGCTGCTTAACATTCAGAAAGAATTATGACTTCCACTTCTGGGAAGAAGGACCAGACATATGTTCTCCTATTTCTCCCATTAAGTACAACTCAAATGCCTGACATCAGACATAAATTAAATGTAAGAAGACACTGAAAGGTGGAGAGGAGAAAGACAAGAAAAGCCTCCACAAAAGCTTCAACTCTTCAACCAAAGGACGAGGGAAGGAGCAGCCGAGTGAGACAGAAAACAACTGCTCTCCTCTAGGCAAACACCACAGAAAATGTTACCCACCTACACGCACAGCAGCAAAGGGTGAGGGGAACCCAGACTTCCACCCTCATCAGTTTGTATTAGGATTCCCCATAGCCCGTGATGGGGGTGTGAGGAGGTGGGACAAGGGCTTTCATCCCTGCAGGCTGGTAGAGTTTCCCCACATACACACTACCACAGTGGTGACCACCTGGACTCCATCCCCACCTGACGTGAATAATCAAACCTCCCTCCTCAGCCCTCTGGCGCAGAGTCAAACAGGCCTGGCAGAATGTCAGACCCAGCGTTACTGAGCCCACCTCCCACCCTACAACCTTTCCCAGTGTTACCAGTGGAAGTCAGGTGTGAGCTGTAACCAAGCTCCCTCCCAGCCAGCCGGTGTCAGTGGAAGCCTAGCAGGAAGATGGAACTCAGATCTTCTCAGCAGTAACAGAGAGTCCTTTCCCAGTCAGGTACCAGTGGAGGTCAAGCGGGAAATCTGAACTTCGACCTCCACCTGGCAGTAATAAGCAGCCCCCTTCTTGTCTCAGAGCAGTATCATCCAAAGCCACATACATAGATTTAAATAAGGTCCAGATGTCAAATACCCAAAATGTATAGGTTGCCATAAAAAGTCACTTGTTATACTAAAACCAGGAGGGAAAAATCTCACCTTGAATAAAAAAAGGCAATTACTAAATGACAATGCTGAGATGAAACATGTTAGAATTATCTGACAAAGATATTAAGGCAGCCATCATAAGCATGCTTCAATGAACAACTATAAATGCAAACAAGAAAAAACTAGAAAGTCTCAGCAAACAAATATATAGTCTTGGCAAAGAAATATTTTTAATGAAATTTCAAAACTAAGAAATACAATAATTTTAAAAAATCAACAAATAGGTTCAACAGCAGAATGGAGGGACTAGAGAAAAGAATAAGTAAATTTGAAGATAAAATAATAGGCTTTAACCAAAATGAACAACAAAGAAAACACAGACTGAAAAAAACAAGCAGAACCTCAACATCTGTGCAAAAAAATATAAGTGGGAAAATATAGGTAAGTACAATAAGCTTTTCTACTCCTGTTTTTTCCGAAAATTTATATGTATTTGAAGCAAAATCATATCACTGTCTGATATAGTTCTAAATATGTGCATAGGAAATATTAAGACAATGATATAAATGAGAACAATATAGGGATATAAGAAGTAAAGATTTCTACACTTCACACAGAATGGCAAATTGTTGATCCAATAGACTGTGTTAAGTGTGTGTGTGTGTGTGTGTGTGTATATATATATATATATATATATATATATATATATATATATATATATATATCATGTAATGACTAGAGCAACCAACAAAATAGCTATAAGAGATATGTACAAAAGCATAAAAAAATTAAAACAAAATTCTAAAAAAATGTCTAAGTAACCCACACGAAGCCAGGAAAAATAAAGCAGAAAAAGGAACAAACAGGGAGAGAATATGTCAGGGAAAACAAAAACCAAAAAGGTAGCTATAGTATGAATATGTCAATAATTGCATTAACTGTAAATGGCTTAATTAAACCAATTAAAATACATATTATCAGCCCTGGTTAGGTAGCTCAGTTGGTTAGAATGTCGTTCTGACACACCTAGGTTGTAGGTTCTATACCGGTCAGGGCACATACAAGAATCAATCAATGAATGCATAAATAGGTGCGACCACAAATCGATGTTTCTCTCTCTCTCTCTCAAAAAGATATAGATAGGGTGACAGTAAAAGGATAGAAAAATATATCATTTAACATTAATACAAATATAATGGGGAAGGAATACTAATACCACATGAATCAGGCTTAAGAGCAAAAAGAATTAACAGAGATAGAGAGGGACATCAAATAAGGATGGAAGGGTCAGTCTACCAAGAAGACATAGCAATCTTAAATGTGTTTGCATCAAACACCACAGATTCAGAATAAATGAAGCAAAAACTAATGAAACTGGAAGGAAAAATCAGCAAACCCCAATTAAAGTGGGAGACTAGAACTCCCCTCTCCCATTATTTAATAGAACAACTACCGTAAATAAAATGTCAGCAGGTTACAATTGCTCACATAGAAAATTCAAGTAATCAACAAAATAATTCCTAAAACTGGTGAGTTCAGTAAGATAGTATAACACAAAATTAATTTGTGTTTCTATATTTATCAATGAGTGGACACCAAACTAAAAATCTAAATCATTTATAATTGCAAAAAACCAAAAAACTTTTGATATAAATCTAACACAACATGCACATGATTTGTACTCTGAAGCTAAAAAACATTGAGGAAATAACTCAAAGATTTTAAGAAATGAAGAGAACTAAAATTGTCATTATTTTCACATGACATAATACTATATGTAGAGAATCTAAAAATTCCACCCAAACATTAATAGAACTGATAAGTGAATTTGGTAAAGCAGTAGGATACAAAATTAACATGAAGAAATCAGTTGCATTTTTTACACCAATAACAATCAGAAAGAGAAATTAAGAAAACAATTCCGTTTACAATTGCATAAAAAATACTAACCTAGGAATAAACTTGGTCAAGAAGATAAAAGACAAGTACTCAGAAAACTATAAGACACTGAAGAAACTAATTAAAGAGATACAAATAAGTGGAAGTACCACAGATAGAAAAAATGAACATCATTACCATTTCCAAACCATCTAAAACACATGTGTCAAACACAAGGCCCGCGGGCCAAATCCATCCCGCCAGGCCTTGCAATGTGGCCCGCACCACGCTGTCATCACTGCACTCCGCTGCGTTTCCATCACAATAACAGTTTATGACTGTTCAGTAAACCATTCGGCCCGGGATTTAGGCTGGATTTTAGATTTTGACCCCTTCTCTGACTGAGTTTGACACCCCTAATCTAAAACAATCTATAGATTCAATGCAATCCCTATAAAAATACAAATGGCATTGTTTACAGAAATAAAACAAATAATTATAAAATTTATAAGAAACTACAATAACAAAAGAGCCACAGCAATCTTGAGAAAGACTAATTTGGTTGGTATCATTCTATCTGATATCAGACTATACCACAAGGCTACAGTAATGAAAACAGTTTGATATTGGCATAAAAATAGACCTAGAGATTATTAAATAATAGAAATCAATGGAACAAAATAGAGAGCCCAGAAATAAGGTTCACACCTGTATGGTCAATTGATATACAACAAAAGAGGCAAGAACATACAATGGGGTTAAGACAGTTTATTTCAATAGACTGAGTTGGGTAAACTAGATAAATGCCAAAGGATGAA